TCTGGTGTAGTGATGCCTCCGAAAAAGGAGGAGCGGTTGGCTTTGCAAAGAATCTTTCAAGTGAAGGTATGGATTTTGTGATGTCCTCACGAATGTCAAATTTGACCCTTGGAACTACCCCGGTGCTTGTGATTGCCCTATTTTCCGGTATTGGTGGCACCTTCCGGATTTATGACTTGCTTGATCTTGCGCCCAGAGGAGCCATCGCTGTGGACATTCACACTCCCGCTAAGTCGTCGATGGCCGGGGGTTATTAGAATTTTAAGAGATGTGAGGGACATTACGAGGGAAGACATTAATTGAACAATGGGCTCGTGATTTTCATACAGTTGAAGAAGTCCACCTGTGGGGTGGATTTCCATGTCGAGATTTGAGCAGCGCCAGAGCCTATCGACAGCATCTGGCTGGAAGAGATAGCTCCCTCTTCTTCGAGTTCCTCAGGATTGGCAGACAATTTGCGATGTCTTTCCCGATGAGATCAAAGTGAAACTTGCGGCAGAGAATGTGGCGTCGATGGATGAATGGGCTGCAAATGAGATGTCATGGCACATGGGGACAGAGCCCTACTTTGTGGATTCGGTGCAAGCAGTGCCTCTCAAAATGCCCCGACTCTGTTGGACTACCGAGAGGAGAGGTCATCCCCGATAGACGTTGGAAAGAAATCAAAGCTTGTGCCCCTTATCCTTCAACTGAACACTGGAACACCCCCGGGTATTCTTGGCCTCTACAACACGTTGCAGGTGCCTTTCCCACATGTATGCGGGCGATTTGGAAGTCCTCTCACCCTCCAAAGCCTGCGGGCATTGGTAGAACGGACCAAGATTGTAGGGACAGATGGGCCCTTTCAGGTTTTGTGTACCCGCCTTATCAGTTCAGAGAGGAGTTCTTGCTTTGGAAGGAGAATTCTTGGAGATTGACAAATATGACAAATAGCGAAGAGAGAGGTTTATTGATGGGATATGGTTTTGAACATTGTAGCTTGGCTTGGTCAGCTTCAAAGATTAAACAAGACCCGGGGGGTCATGAACGAGAGAAGTGTTCCTTAATTGGAGATGCCTTTAGCATCTATTCCTTTGTCATCATTGGGGCTGGACTTTGCAAGCGTTGGATTCCCACCATTGAGTATAAGCACTTGTGCCAGAGAATGGGCCTTGCACCAGGTTTCCGAGCCTCCTTACGACTTCAGGCACCCTTATCTCGTTGTCTTCAATACGGTTGTCAGACGGTTGCTGAGGCACAAGGGAATTTCAAGGTAAGGGACCTTAATCTTCTTTTGCTAGGCCGGACAAATTTCACTGGGAGTGATGTCAGAGTTGTTTCAGGAGGCCTGGTGAACCCCAGAGCGTTCCCAAGACAATCTATCTCCGCCTCTTGGTGGATCTGGGAACGCTGTTTCCGGATGAAGTGGCCTCGACCGCAGCGCATCAACCAGCTCGAACTACGCTCTATTTTGATGAGTGTCATCAGAGGCATTAGGAGTGAGCATTGGGTTGAGAAGCGTGTCTTTCATTTGAGCGATTCATATGTCTCAATCAGCGTTGCTTCCAAAGGACGATCTAGTAGCCGAATGTTGAATCGCCTTCTTAAGGTTTTGAACGCACATCTTTTACTTTATGGTGTATCCCTTATCCTTGCCCATGTAGAGTCCACCGAAAA